TTTACAACGTTTTCCCATACTTTTGCATATATAATACATCTTTAGACAAGTGCACTACGTCACCACCTCGTTTAATAGTTGAATGGGCTGGTCGCATAGTGCACTTATCTAAAGATGTATTATATGCAGAAGTATGGAAAACCTTGAACTTATTTTTTTTAATTATATATTTGCTGTTCATATAATAAGAAATATAATTACAAAGAAACGTTTACATAAAAAAAAGTGGATTTATAAAAAACAGGCAGGGGATCAAAAAAGATACGGATGACTAAAGTCACCACAATCTTTTCATAGAGCCTCTATGTTGACTTTACAAGTTAAAAATAAAATAAGATAGCTAAAAATACTTTGTACATCTTCCATATAGATTCAATCAAGATTAAAACTTGTATACATTCCATCAAGATTAAAACTTGTATAAATATATACATTAAACTAAGAAAGTACATAATATCAATATAGTTTTAGCAATAGTCATTTAAATATATTGACAAACTCTGTTAAATATCAAAGTTGTTGTGTGTTGAGGATATATAATTTGGACAACAATTTACACATTATTTTTAAGTATTTATTTTTAATTATTTAAGTAATTATTTATTTAAAAAAATCTGAACCAACTATGCATTATTTCAGCCTTGTAATTACCCGAAAAGACATGAACAACTGCAATAAACTATTTCAAACAACTCTCTCTATCCTGTTTAGAAACTTAGCAAACTTGCCATATTTCATGATCTTCTTATCTGTGTGTCCAACAAAGATACCAGCTTGAACCTAGCCTCGGACATCTCCCGATAAGAAAATTTTATGTGGGCTACATATGTCTTTAAATGATAGAAACTCAACTTATGAGATGGCGTAAATGTGGGCTATGTGTGGTTATGGCATTTATGTCAATTAGGTGGTAGCTACATTTGGCCCACATGTGTCTATAATGCTTGTACAACTTATGTGTTATCCCATAAATTGAGTGTATCCCGTAAATCACACGACGTACAAACAAAACTTTTATTTCCAAAATCTTCCTCAATTTTGAACTTTGCTGCTTTACCCTAAAAATGGCTGATCCTTCCAAGGTAGATTAAAATTAGGCAGCTTGGAGCTGTGGCTCAAGGTCAATGTTTGAATGAATGTCTGATAAATGATATAAGACACGTTTATGTTTAAGCAACGTTTTGCAAGATCAACTTTTTGCTTGATTGGTGTGGAGTTTCAATTGCAAGTTTTTATATCTTCAATTAAATATATCTAAACTATTAAAACTCTGCAAAACAAAGCACATCTGATCATGAAGCAACTATTCAACTTACAATCGAAATTTCTCTTGCAATATTCGCCTGTGAAATGCGGTGCCCAGGGCTTGCCTTTATTGTCTCTATTATTCGTTAAGCAAATAGTATTATTCGTTAAGCGATTAGTACTATTCGTTAAGCGATTAGTACTACTCGCTAAACAAATAATACTATTCGTTAAGCGAATAGGAACATTCGCTTTGTTTAACGAATAGTAATATTCGCTTATCGAATAGTACTATTTATTTAAAGAATAGAATTGGTTATAATGCTCTATTCGTTTAACGAATAGAACCTTTTAACTAACTGGTACTGAACTATAGCCAATAATACTATTTGTTAAACAAATAGCACTATTCGCTTATCAAATAGTACTGTTTGTTTAACGAACAGTACTAATCGCCAAACGAATGGCATAATTTTTTAAAGAATAGTATTATCTGCTTATCGAATAGTACTATTCGTTTAATGAATTGTACTATTGGTTATAATTCGGTGCCGAAGTTTCATGAATAGCTTATTAACTATTCTTTAAAATAAAAACACTACTCGCAGGTGCTTATCCCCAATAGACATGCCGAAGTATGCTTTCTGGGCCTCACACATTTTACAGCTTGCTTCCACCGAATACACGAAACTTTAAACAAAAATAAAATCGAAATTTTACAACAAAAATAAAATTGTCACATTCTTATTAATAGATGAAAAAAGGTTTTTTAAATTAGTTAGGCACTTTTAAGTTTACCAGAACTTTAACTTTTAAGAACCTAATTTTCTTCAATTTTTCATCATTTCAGATTTTCTATCGTTTTCGATACCAACAGCTTGCTTGTCGTTTTAAAAAACAGATTTTGAAGTTGTTCTTTCAGCTTTAATTATTTTATATTGCGTAAGTACAGATAAGCATTAATTAAATGAGCGATGAAATTAAATGAGCGATGAACTTAACTTAGGTAATTTTTCAAACTCCAATGTTTTAATATTTTTAAGAAACTAAACCATGTAACCTTTTAACCTTTTATCTCCCAACAAACGACTCTTTCATATATATTTTTGAAATAGGGGACATGGCCTACTATATTACAATATGTAATATAGTAGGCCATGTAGGTGAGAAAAGGGCACATTGGGACGTTTTTTGAAAAAGATACCACAGCTTTTGTACTGTTTGACAAAAAGTTGAAATTTTTGCTGAGAAAGATATTTAGTTACTGATTCTTAAAAGAAAAAAGGCGAAGCCCTGCTAGTTCAAATAAATTATAGTTGTTCTTTTCTTAAAAACGAAGCTACTCATAACTTGTGTAATGAAGTTAGTTTATTTGAAGTTTATTTGTCTGAAGTAAAACTACGCATACCCCACAAGAGGGGGTAGTTTTGGAGGCCATTAGTCAGTTTAGGAAATATATTAAAAAGACAAGAAATGTTTCTTAAACTTTTATTTTTTTTAATGAATAGTAATTATAAACGATAATAAGTAATGATAGTAATTACAAACAATAGCAGAATTAGGCGATTTATTCTTATAAAGATCTCAAACCATTAAATAATTTTCTGGTATATTATATTCAAATAAACTAAAATGATATTACTATTCAATCACCTATCAATCTCATAAATACAAAATAATTATCTTAAAATAATTTTATATAAAATACCAAAGTAAAGAGTGTGAATGTGAAATGAATTGAGATAAACAGAGAATAAATGAGATAAACATGAATAAATGATTTCTCATAACATTCAACCAAGTTTGAATAACGAAACAGAATTCTAGGTGGAAAGGTTATCACTTTAATTTTTTATTATTTCTGAGCATTCTTATTGTGTAAGCCAATGTACTTATACAGAACCCAATTACATCTGCAGCCTCTCAGAGTTTCATTGTTTTGTTAAAAACGTTAAGGACAAGACTGACCCCAGTCTTCTGCGAGCTTCCTATAACTACAAACAATTAATTATTTTCTTCAATCTTATACAAATCTTGTTTTTATCATACTTTTATATATATATATATATATTTTATTCTGATTGAAAGAATATAGAAGGATTATTTCTTGGGTAATTTTTACGTTCACGTTATTCTATTGTGTACTTTGTATTTATTTTTATCATGTCTCAAAGTTGAATGTAACAATATTTTAGATTTATCCCTTATTTATTTTGGACTTTATGTTTACGATATTTATATTTGTATATCTTTATTCGCCAATCGATGATCGGTCAATTGTAAATACTTTGTAGTTGTGAAATAAACATGTTAAAAAAAAAAAAAAAAAAAAAAAAAACAATGAAACTCTGAGAGGCTGAGTTTCACTGTAGTTTTAAAGTTTTTTTCGTTTATTTATGCTTCACTTTTTTTTTTTATAGTTACGCGCTATTTTTAAACTTTGATTTTTTTTTTTTAATTTTTAATAACTTAATTTGCCGAAAGATTGTTAAGAGACGTGCAGAACGTCCAAATGGGCTTCATAAAAATTGTTCAATGCTGTGTCAATTCTGATTTTAGAATATATTCCACAAAATTTTCACTAAAATTTTGTGGAATATATTTTAAAATCGACTAATAAATTTAATTTATTTGATAAGTTTGTATTTTTTAAAACTTTCGCATTGTCCTAAACTACCAATGTCCTAAATTGCCTCATACTGCGTAAAACCTGTGGCTTTAAAAGTTGTTTATTCTGGCTTATCATTTTGTGTCATTTTACTTTATACGTATTTAGTTTCTTAAATTTTTATGATTGCAATACATCAGTATATAAAAACAAAATAGCAATATATAGCGTTTATAAATTGATATTACCAGAAAATTATTTAATGGTTTGAGATCTTTATAAGAATAAATCTCTTAATTCTGCTATTGTTTATAACTATTATCATTACTTATTATTGTCATACTGATGAATGCATCAGTATATAAAAACAAAAAAGCAATATATTGTGTTTATAAATTGTCACGTTTTTAAAACACCAAGTAATTTTTTTCAACTTATTTTCTATCATTAAAAAATTGCTTTTTTCTTCTCTAGACGCTATTTTACAAGACTCTGCTCGATGGCCATTACAATTAATTGTTCCATGACCATTACAATTAATTGTTCCATGACCATTACAATTAATTGTTCCATGACCATTACAATTAATTGTTCCATGACCATTACAATTACAACAAAAAAACTGAATCCTATGATTTTATTTTACTGAATATTTCAAGCCACGTGATAAATAAAACAAAAGAGAAAAATAGTCAAGAATTATTTTAGATTCTATTCCTGATTTCCTGACGTGGATAAACTGAGAAGTCATCAGCACATAGTATTAACGCAACAGTACTGCAAACGACGTCATGAGCAAAGAAACTTTGAACACAATTTATCTCCATTTAAATATTTTTCTTTTTTATTGATCAATATGGCTTAGTTACCCAATGTTTTTCATGTTCATCAATGGATATAAAATTTAAATTCTTTTATAACTGATCAATTAGAATTACTTTGTTGTACAATGCAAAATATTGTTTCGTATTGGATAAAGTTTTTTAGATTTGATGATATTTTTACGCGTTTTTTCCAAAACTATTAATTAAATCAAGAAAATTTGTTGAAAATTCCAAGTTATTAGCTTAATAAACTAACTATTTATTTAAATAAATCTAACTGTATCAAATTTTAGGTAATCTTATTTAAGTCGTAGATGAACACTTGACACATATTACGTTCAGATCTGACTCATTTGCATCGAAAACATTATTTTGTGAATTTGCTAACCAGTTCATTTTCTAAGCATTCTCCAGCTTCAAGGTGTTAGTGTTTATTTCAATGTCAAAAGAATTTTATAAAATGTAATTATCAGTTATTTATAAAATAAATGCTTTAATCAACTGCAAACAATACTTTTCAGCTCTACTGAAGTTTTTACACACATACAAATAGTCACTGGATTTCAAAATATTAGTTTGTTTCCACATGACATCAATATAATTAATCACTTAAAGTTGCAAATTGGTAATACGTTGAAAGCACCATCTATACCATCACCACCACCACCAGTAAGTACACTATCTAAACCAGAGACGGATCCAGTGTTTGAGCTAACTTCCAGTCATGGACCAAACTCTAAATATTGATATGTTTACTTATGTCAAATAAGAATGATCGCAAAAAATTACCCAATCTTAAAATCAATAATATAGACTATTTAATATATATAAATTATTTAATAGTTTATTATTTAATAGTTTAATATAAAAATTAATATAATAAAAGTATAAATTATTTAATAGTTTAATATAAAATAATAATATAAATTATTTAATAGTTATTTGCGTTACTATTGGGGCTCGGTGATAAGGCTATTTTATGCCTTCTTCTTGCTCCAGCCAATTGTACTTTTTATATTGTTGTACTTTGAAAATATTTTTAACGGCGAAATAAACTAATAAACTAAAAAAAAAAAAAAAAAATTGCGATTATTTGAGCCTGTAAACTAAAAAGCCCTGAAATTTTCGCGACCCCTTTTCCCCCTTAGCCCCAAATGAGAGCAATAAGTTAGTAAAATATTTTTTTACTATTCTTAACTAGACTTATATTTTACGATGAATTTTAAGTTTCTTAGTATAATCTCTCAGCGTTCAAGAATAATGACCTTATAAAGTTTGAACCCCCCTTAGTTCGAGGAAGATACAAATTTTTTATAGTCATAAGCCACTGATCTAAGTCACTGCGTTCTGAATCCGTACCAGCAACATCTAACGTATCATAATGTTGTAGTTACTTTGGCTATTAACAAAAATAAGTTGAAAATAAATGTGATTGGTCCAATTGTTTGCTTTGCAAAAAATGTTTTGCAATAAATGTTTTGCGTCCAACAAGTTGACACAAAAAAGCAGTAAAGAAGCGTGCCAATATTTTAAGGGAAGTGTCTCAATAAACTTAAAATATTCAAGGATTGAAAGAGACAAAAAAAACAATTAAAAAAATATCAATAAAAAAACAACAACTAACAAACAGCAAAGCAAGATTGGAAACGACGTAAGTTTAACTTAGAGCGACTCCAGCAGCAGTAGCAGCAGCAGCAACACAACAACAACAACAACAACAACAACAACAACAACAACAACAACAACAACAACAACAACAACAACAACAACAACAACAACAACAACAACAACAACAACAACAACAACAACAACAACAACAAAAACAGCGGCTAAAGAAATTAATTGTAAAAAATGCTGTAAAGTTTTAAGCAAAGCTTCAACAAATCAAAATTTATTAACACTTCTAACTATTTCATTTTACTCTACACACTATACGTAACCGCGCTACATCGAAGCGGTTATTGCGTGGTTATGCGTAACCAAGCAATAACTCATTTTTTATTGAAACCATCCAATAAAATGTAAAGATTAAACTTAAAAATCAACTATCATTAATCAGAATAGCGGTTTTTTATTTATTTTTTACTTAGGCATAACACATCTGACCTGTCATTTACATGTTTTTATCCGATTTATTTTTATTAGTATTATTATTTTATTTCGCATTATTTACGCGTTTTTAACGTATTTATTAATTATTGTTCACTTTATTCTTTAAATTGTCATAATATAAGTACTTGTTAAATTTTTCTTAAATTTATTACTTTCTTAATTTGTTTTATTCAATAACATTATTTGATTCGATAGCTATATAACTTATACCATTTGTAAAACTTCAATTCAAAGTCTACCAGAAACAATAATGTCATTGAAAGAAAAGATCAAGAAAAAACTTTTAATTTTTGCTTAGTTTATATTGATGTACATTTTTATTGTTATATTTATATGTATGTCGTGTATTTTTGTGTATGCATTTAATGCATTTTTTACTTTTATTAACCTTAATTTTATGTATAATAAGTTTTTTTCTGTTTATATTTGCTTTATTTGTTTATTATGCTTACAATATATTTTTGTTATTATATTATAAAAACTAAAATTATTATATTTATTGAGTCTTTGTAGTCTTTTATCGATAATCGTTTTTATGTCATCTTTATTTGTTTTGTCAGTTTATTACTGTTTGTAACTGTAACTATGTATATATAATTGGTTGTTGTATGAAAAATTGTATTGATTTATTTTAATTCTTTTAGTTACTGGTTTTTATAATTTTTGTTGACGTAATTAATGGACAGCCTTCTGTTAAATATTTATTTAATAATTCTGTTATATATTTGTATTTATTGTATTTATTTATTGTATATTGTATTTGTATTGTATTTATTATTATCATGTTTTTATTTTAATCATTATTATTTGGTGTTAATTATACTTACTGGTAATATTATTATTGTTATTCTTATTATTATACAATTAATTATTTTTATTATTGTTGTTATTGTTAATTTATTGCTATTTTTTTATTAATATTACTATATATAGTCTATAATACATTTTATATCATCAAAGATGTTTTTACTTTATATTAGTTTTTATAACTATTTGTAAACAACGTGAAAGTTAGACCTTTTTTCCAGAATATATAATCAATTGATTGATTGTAGGTAAAATACTTAAGTGATGAATCAATAATGTTGCATCAACATAACATTAATGATAGATCAGGCGGTGAGCATAAAGTGACGAAGTAATAGCCTGTATCATAACGTGATGTATTAATAAGGTTATAGCAATATTTAAAAAGTCTTTGCTTTTTTTTGCCATTGTATTTAGTAGTTTAATGTTCAGAGTAAGTTTTCGTTAATGATTATACCATAGCTTATACATGTTTGTGTTAATATATATATATATATATATATATATATATATATATATATATATATATATATATATATATATATATATATATATATATATATATATATATATATATATATATATATATATATATATATATATATATATATTAGGGTGAGTCATAAAATTTTTTTTTTCTTGTTACAGACTCTAAACATTGCTAATAGTTATTAATATTTATACTATCAAATATGAGAATGATTGTGACAGATTTAAAGGGCGCAACTATATATGGAAAAATTACCGGTACCCTAATATTTTGGAGAAAAAAAGTTTTCAAAAGTAGGTCAACCTGATACTCAAAAGAAGCAAAATTTTATAAAAAATTTAAAAATAATAATTGTTTTATAAAAATCATATTGCCGAAAAAAATTGTTATTAAAAAACATGTAAAAATGCACCTTTTTCACTTTTAGTTAAAAATCTATAGTTATTATGCAATAAAATCTAAAATAATAATTTTTATATGAAAAAATTATTATTTTTTAAATTTTTATAAAATTTCGCTTTATTTGAGTACCTACATTACATAATTTTGAAAAACTTTTTTTTTGAATAATAATAGGGCCTGCTAATTTTTGTAATTATAGTTGCAAGTGGAAGACATTGTTCAATCCATAAAAGTAAATACTTTCCTAAATTAGTACATAAAAAAACAACTTTCTAGACCATAGCCAGGTTAGCAACTCTAAAAAAAAATTTTATGACCCTCCCTAATATATATATATATATATATATATATATATATATATATATATATATATATATATATATATATATATATATATATATATATATATATATATATATACATATACATATATATATATATATATATATATATATATATATATATATATATATATATATATATATATATATATATATATATATATATATATATATATATATATATATATATATATATATATATATATATATATATATATATATATATATATATATATATATATATATATATATATATATATATATATATATATATATGATTCATGAAGGATCATTTGAATTAGATAGTTATTTGTTAAGATAGATACCTTTTTATAATAACATTTTTATTTTTTATATTTTAGGTTCTTTTCAATATTGCCTTTTTTAACAAAAGAATAATGAAAAATGTCTGAAGAAGAAAAAGAAATATTTTACTTACTTTTTCACGAAGGACTTGAATCGTTTTACTCTGCTATAAATGTGTGCCTTAATGTTACAAAAACAAGTTTGTTATATATACTTTAAAATATTTGAATGAATAAATTATATAAATATTTCATTACTCAAATTTAGTAATTATTTTCCTTTTCAGATCACTTTCTAAAAATTTTGATAACCATATTGAGCTGTTTGGAAAAAACTCATAGTTAGTGTTTTGCAAAGCAAAATTCTAGATAGAATATAAATAATAATAATTATAATTATTAATATTATTATTATTATTATCTGAAGTTATGATTTTACAAATTTAATTTTTAATTTGTTTTGCGCAAATTCAAAATGAAAGATTTAATTTGTCAAACATGCATATTAAAGCAGTATTAGTTTACCAAACATGCATATCCAAGTTTTATTGCATCAAAAAGTGCTGTACAAGTGACATACTCAACACTAACTGCCAGAATATATTTTACATTTCGTGTTTCATCAATACAGACTCATCAGAAATCAGCATTTCTGATGAGTTTTTATTGAATAGTTACAGTGTAATATAAAAATAGTTTGATAAGTGGTTTTCTACTAATTTATTATTGCTTTGTTTTTTAAAAAACACTGTGCACTCTATAAATTATTAAATTGCATTCTTTTTTAGAATGCAATTAAAATAATTTATATATATATATATATATATATATATATATATATATATATATATATATATATATATATATATATATATATATATATATATATATATATATATGAAAAGTGTTTTTCTAAAAGGCACTTTGTCGCATTTTTATTGTTTTGAGAGAAAAATACAAAAACTAATTGTACGGCAAAGATTTTTCTAATATTTATAATTTTGTAATTGTAGATAAAGATGATGAACAAAGTTTTTATTAATACTAGCATTGTTAGATTTGTATATTTATCAATAAGAAATTCAAATGTTGAAAAACTCAATTTTTGAAAAAATGGACTTAGCGCCTTTTAGACAAACATTCTATATATATATATATATATATATATATATATATATATATATATATATATATATATATATATATATATATATATATATATATATATATATATATATATATATATATATATATATATATATATGTATATATATATATATATATATATATATATTTATATATATATATATATATATATATATATATATATATATATGTATATATATATATATATATATACATATATACATATATATATATATATATGTATATATATATGTATACATATATATATATATATATATATACATATACATATACATATACATATATATATATATATATATATATATATATATATATATATATATATATATATATATATATATATTTATATATATATATATATATATATGTATATATATATACAAATAGTATTCCGTACTAAGGTAAGCAATCTGACGTCATACTGAAATAGCCTGCTGCTGGGGGCTTCAGTACATACATCGATTGACAAATAGCCTGACTCGCAGTTGAGTGCTGCAACATCGACTGAGGGTTTGGGATGGGTAAGCAATCATCCCAAACCCTCAGTCGATGTAGAAGCACTCCACTGTGAGTCAGGCTATTTTTCAATCGATGTATGTACTGAAGCTCCCAGCAGCAGGCTATTTCAGTATGACTTCAGATTGCTTACCTTAGTACGCAATACTATCTGTATATATATGTATATATATATATATATATATATATATATATATATATATATATATATATATATATATATATATATATATATATATATATATATATATATATATATGTATATATATATATATATATATATTTAGTTAGTGGTAAACTGCGTGGATCTTATCCACAAGCTGAGGCGTTGTAACGTTCAGCTATAACAGCCCAGTACTTTTTTTCTTTTTCTTTTAAATAAATATTTTCTTATTTTTCATAAGCCATTTGTTCAAACTTGCTTTAAAACTATTCAAATTCTCAGAATAATCAACTATTTCCAGAAGTTTGTTCCAAATTTGGCACACTCTGATTGTGAAGAAATGGATTCTGGAGCTAACCGATGCATGAAAGTCATTTATTTTGCAAGGAGTAAAACACTGCATTCTGATTTTATGTTTGTGACCTCTAATAGAAGAACATGGGCCATCTAATTTAACGCTTGACTTTTAAACTGGTTTGATATTAAGATTGACAAAGTCTAAATGGTTTAATATCTTGTATAAATAAATAAGGTCTCCTCATTTTCTTCTGAGATTTAAAGTAGTTAAATCCATTTTAACTAGGCATTTCTCATAACTTAGCATTCAGTTTGAGTATGGTATTTTCGTGGCCCTGTGTTGAATTCTTTCAAGCATTACAATTTCCGCCGCATTCGGAGGACTCCACACAGAAGCCACAAATTCAAGATGAGGTTGCACATAAGTAGTATACAAAATTTTCCACATGTAACAATCTCTACTTTCAATGGCTTTTTTCAATAAACCCAGTATTTTTGAAGCTTTGTTAACACATAATTGTGTTTGATATTTCCACCTCATATCTGGTTGTACAAAAATTGTAAAAAAAATTTTGTGCTTATAGAAAAATACATACATACATACATACATACATACATACATACATACATACATACATACATACATACATACATACATACATATATAAAACATTGTAGGTAAAATACTTAAGTGATGAATTGTACAATAGGTGATTTTCACCCAGGCGTCAAGGTCTTGAAGGCACCAAATTTTCATTAAATACTTATTTTTTCCTGAGAATATAAAAATATATAAATTTATTCGAATAATTATATATAAATTTACAAACTTATAAGTTTAAATATAATTATTCTGATAAATTAATAAAAAAAAAATCATGAAGAAATAACCTTTTTGTGACTGTTTACATGAAGAATGGATTTGTGTAAATTAATTCACCAGATCTTTTTGAAGCTCAGACCTTGTATTAGTGACAACTCATGCTGCTTTGTTTCAAAGTGAAAGAATCAAAGAAACTATACAAGTTTGTGAGCTGTACATTGCGTAGGGGTGTAACAAAGTACATTTACTTCATTACAATACTTTGTTATTTTTACTTTCAGAAAAAAAAAGCTTAAGCTTTAAATGGTTCAAATTAATTGTAAAATATACACGCAATATTACATGCAATATACATGCAATATTACAGAACTAATATTGGTACTGCTTGGCATTTTAACCATACATCAAGACACAAGACTGTAACATCAAGACACAAGACTGTAACATCAAGACACAAGACTGCAACATCAAAACACAAGACTGGAAAACTATAAAAATACTATAACAATGTTTATAACAAAATACAGCTGTATGTTGACATTTGGCATAATTAAAATGGCATTCTCTATTATCTCCAGTATTCTCCAGTAAATGGCATGATCCAGTAGTGTTGTTGAAAATAATAAATCTGAATTTCTTTGGCCATAAATGCATAAACTTAAAAAGTTACTGACAAACTTATTAAATGTACATTATTTCTCCATCTAACCTCCAGAAGCATATTGAGGTATGTTTTTTTCAAATTTTGATAGATGTTAATCATTTAATGGTATTTAAAGCTGTGTCAAATTTTTTGTTAACATGGTTAAAATTTGAATTTCTTGAGAGAATTCATTCAACTAAAGTAAAGGAATATGACAAACAGATTGCAAAAAGTGAGAGGTAAATGATCAGGACAATCAATCTCAACTAGTTAAGGTTCAGCAAACTTTTAACTTTGTGAGAAACTTTTAAGTTCAATCTCAGAAGACTTTAGATAAATCTGTTGTTGATTATGTAATAACTAACTTGCAGCTATTATGCACTATTGAGAAGATTGGTTTCAGAAAATTGATAACTACGCTGGCCCTAAACTCAACACAGTTCTCAACTAATCTGTCTAAGATTATTGATGATACAAATGAGTGAACAATACCAATTCATGGTTAAGAAACTTACCAGTCGGTTATAAAAACAGCATTTTGTTGCAACTACAACTGACTGTTCAAGATTGCTCATAAATTGAGCATATCATAAAAGATAGCTCAAGATTGGTCATAAATTGAAGTCACACTTACCTACAACGTGTTATAAGCTTTCCTAAAACAAATCTACCCAGAATTTGACATTCAAGATAAAACAACAAAGACTACAACTGATGAGTCAAATTTTTGAAAAACATTTAACATGCATTCATAAGTAAATTTGCTATAAGGCAATTCTAGACAAATGTCTAGGGGTGCCAATCTAAAAGGGATGCTTGATTTTAAATTTTCTTTGAAAAATTTTATCAAGTGTTTTATCACATAATAAGAATTAATTTATTTAAACTTTTTAAAACTATTCCTATGATTTGTTTAAAATAAACAATGATAGGTATGAATGTCAGACGACTTAAAAAATCGCAAGTTATATGAGTCAGGAAAACAAAAAGAAGGGAGCATATTCCAAAGAACTGATGTTTGAGGGAAAAAACTAGACAAATAAAAATTTTTTAAGCACTTTTGAACAGTCATAATAATAGATGAAACTTAGTTGTTAGTCATAATAATAAATGAAACTTAGTTGACAAACATCCTGATAATGAATTTTAGATGATGGCACAAGAGATGCTAGCACTTTAGATCAGCGCCCATTATAGTGTTTATAGAAAAAAGAAAGAGAAGCAACATTACAACGATATGACAATGGTTGAAGGTTGGCTACAAATGCAGGTCCAACTATATTTATAATATGTTTTTGCACCTTGTCTAAAAGAGCAAGGGAATCATTTGAAGATCTGCTCCAGATATAGCAACAGTACTCCAAATTAAATTATTTATATAGATAAATAATTTAATCTGGAGTAATAAAAAAGCAAGCATGAGATGCAACCTTAGCAGATGTTAACTTTGCAATGGGTTTGATATATGGTTTTCAAGCAAGATCTGAAGTAAGAGTTAATCTTCGAAAATAAAAGGTAGATGACTCATTGAGTACATTACTGCTCATAAATATAGGAAGACCTAGATTGTTATGATAAAGATTAGCCAAAA